CACCGGAATGAGCTCAGACCCGGCTGCGGGCAATGGCAGCTTCCTCGCCGGCTTGAAGGGTGGAGCACGGAGCCCACGAAGGAGAAGAGGGGCCTCAGCCCCCGTGGAGTGAGGAGTTGAGAAGGGGGCGGGTGGGGGGCGACGAGCCATGAAGACAAGTATCCTTCATACCCTAAAGCTTGCAAAGAAGAATTTTTCCAACTAGACTTGTACTTGAAAGCGTTGGTGACGCATAGGGGATACACACAGGTGCACGTGCACCCCCTGAGCGTGGCAGTGCACCCCCTGCCACTCGCCACCCCCCATCGCCAACACAGCCAGCAGCGTCTGCAGGCAGTCTGTAATCGCCGCTGCCCGCAGGTGGTTGCAAACCACTGGTCAGCATTGGCCACCCCTGCCACCGACAGTGCTGTGGCCGCCTGTGGGAGCTCCCCACTTGCTGCTGCCACTCTCCTGCTGCCAACAGCACCACTGACGCCTGCAGGAGCTCACCGTGCCCCCCCCAGCATCCAGGGGCACATGACATTCATGCTCAAAAGCTTGCAAAGAAGAATTTTTCCAACTATATTTGTGCTCAAAAGCCTGCAAAGAAGAATTTTTCCAACTGTTTGAGTTGGTGTAATAAAAGAGATCGGGATCTACCCAAAGAACCTTGTCTGCCCGTGTCATTAGACCAATATGGCTGCCACTGCTGGGCAGTTGGTTTTCAACTTTGGGTGGAGCAGGAATCAAAAGGAGGTGCGCCAGCACACCCTCCCCCCAATCCCCTCTGTCTGAAGATACAGCCATGCGGTAGAGCCCAAGTTTTTGAAACATGGCATCTTTTATTGGATGCTTCTGTTTCTGAGTGCCCCAAGTTAGAGGCAGACGGCCTGCCTTTCAGATGCGCTTGTGCTGAATTCGGTAGGACCGCTTGGTGTGATTAAGGATTGCCAGGCTGGATCCCAGTTGCTCACTGGCCTTTTTTAAATGCAGAGTTTGCTTAACATTTGCCTGTTACTAAGCAAATTCCTGCAGTATAGTAGATGTACGAAGTATACGATTGGGTCTTGTACAGAGCATATTTATTTTATAAGAGGCTGTGGATCAAGACAGCAACTGAAAGCCTGACAAGACCACTTTTACTTAGCCAAAATATTGGCAAGCGTTATATCTTACAGAGGCGGTGCTTTTACATGCAGCAGTGGGTCTCAACCACATTCAAGGTGCCCTTCATTAGATACGAGACACTCATTAGGTTTGAGGTACCCTTCAGAAAATGCCATCTCTTAGTTTACGCTCATTTTTTGAATACAGAAAAATAATAGAGCAATTCCCCTGTTGTAAAGAATTCAGAAAGCTTACAACAAGCCAGACTGTTTTTATCTCTGGATTTATCTTGTGGATTATGCTTCAGTGCTAACACTAATGGCACCCTCAAAAGGATCCCAAGCTACCCCAGGCTGCCACAACACCCTGGTAGAGAATCACTGACATACAGCATAGGCCCATTGCCTCATATAAACAATTGAAAAACCATTAGCCTTACATATAAAGAACTGGACCAATCCTCACTATTTAAAGTCATTGGTAAGATTTTATCAGGCATGTTCCAGCCTTACTGATAATATTGTTTTCCTCCTTGATAAAGTACAAATACTTTTTATTGTTAGTACTCTCAATAGCATGCCACAATTCACAGAATATATAAGAAACTACGTTGGAATTATAGTCCACTTTGTTTTAAGAAAAGCAGAGGAGCTTTGGCACCATTGATTTGCATCATCGCTTCTGGAATAGCCTTTGGCTTCTCTTTAAAGATAATATCTAAACTGTGAAATTCATTAAATAGACCCAGAAATGGATCAGGTTATTTAAAACAACATCACTAATGGCACAATATCTCAGCTGTCCACACTGATAGCGAACATTGTCTTGGATAGTGTTATCAGTCCAGGACACCCGCTATGAATATTGATCCAGAGCTTGTTACAGCCATCACTTGCCGTCAGGACAGGTCAGGGTTGAAACCCACCTAGCATCAAAGCAATTTAAAGACAGCACTCAGACTGAATTTTAATGCTTGAGCTGAGAAACAAACCAACTTCAAACAGACAGTTAAGACAAATATGTGTGTTTGTGTGCACGTGTGTTAAACTGACTATATTTGAAGATGCCTGCTAGCATAAAGAACCAGTAATCATACATTGATATTTTAAATTATTCCATCACTCCAATCACCTTTTAAAGATTTGGGCCATTGAAATAATTAATTAAATCCACAATTAAAATACATTCACAAGGATGTATTTTGTAATCTTAAGTGGCTCTGAGGGTTTGATTTTTTTTCTTCTAAAGTAAGGTTCTGATCATGCAATGACTTACACATATGCTTACAGTTAGAGGACAGCCTAAGTGGGCCAGAAAAATAATTACTATATCACAAAATCTGTGATGGCAACACAATTGCTTCTATGCAATTGGGTGTGTCTCAACTCCAAGGATCAAGGTGCTGTGTTTTAATGAGAATCTCATTCTGGACATATTAATAAGATACATACAAAGGTCTACAATCCATTGTCCTTAGTTGATCACACTCTCAAGGAACAATACCTGTGATTCCTTTTCTCTTCTTTTCTTTTCCTCCCTATCACTATTCCAATTAAAAAAATTATATATAGTTAATATAGCAATGACATTTTTTCACCAGATGCACTTGCTTGTATGCTCCATCCACATCCCTACCCTCTTTATCTATTTGTACTAAAACCCATTCAAGTTAGAATATGTCTATTTTCTAGGTTTATATAGCACCCAGATCAATATAATCCCAACACCAGCCAGGGCCTTTGGGTGCTACCATTATATACATGACTGTCATTTTATCTCTGCATGTCTTCATCTTCTTGTCTCTTTCTATTCAGTTTCCTCAGGCTCTATGATACACAATGGATAACAGACTGTTCAATTCTGTCATTATTGTTCCCACTGAATTCCTTTTTATTTCTTTAGAATTAAAGATAATTGTATCTACAGGGTAGCTTTGAGCATCCTAACAATTCATCCCATTGGGACAACTAGCTGTGTAAGATATACCTTAGCATGCACAGGAGTGGAAGAGTTAATATCACACTGCACGGCAAACACATGTTAACAAGTTGATTCCCGAACTCAATTTCAATGCTGCTATCCAAAATCATCCACAGCTGAATAATATGCTTGCGTCCATGTTCATCCTGAGTTGTGATGTGAACAAAATATTCACACAAATGCTAGTGTGAGAGAAGAAAATCCATCTTAAAGAAACATCACACACAAATTAGTTCTTGTGAAATTTAAAATTCACATGTAGATCATTGCTTGGACTAGCCCTGGGGACTCCTCCATTCCAAAAATGTAGCCCTGCCAGGTCAGGGTTGAGTCGCATTGGATGTGTAGCACAGAGGAGCTTGCCCTGCTTTTGCCTTTTCTCTACTTCTTTCATGTGTAAACAGGGGGTTTTACCCTCCTGTACAGTACGAATTACTTCCATTCAAGTCAATGAGAATTATTCACATCCTCTGGTTGTTGGAGATTCAAGCACCAGAGCTATTAGTCTGCTATGAGTAAGAGAAAGAGGGAGAATGATTGTGGTTGTCAGCTTTTGTTCATTAGCATATTTATTTATTTCTGCCACTGATTTGCTGTGAGATGTGGGTTAAGTCACTCATGTTATCTGTGCCTCAGTTTCCCCACCTACAAAATGGGAACAACAGTCATCTCACAGGAGTATTGTTAGGAATAATTATGTATGAACCTGTCTTCCCTCTGACTCAGCAAAGCGGCATAGAAGCTGATCCAAAAACGCATGGGAGGCAGCAAAAAGCCTCTCATTTATTTCAGTGGGCTCCGGATCAGGCTCTGCTGGGTTTAATTTACCCCTATGCCCAAGAAATTCAATGAGGTTAAAATGTGGCTTCCTGTATCTTAATATGAGATATATATTTTGATGAGGTAAATGACCATGGAAGTGTTTAATGTTATTTTTGGACTTATTTTTTTAAGAGCACTCCAGCATTCTTTGCGTAGCCTACATTACCACTGATTTCATTTCCATTTTGGATACACATGAAAGACAGGATCAAATCCTGTCACCTGTGGTTTATACCCCAGAGAATTTTAGGACTGGTGAGTGCTGTGACTCTGGAAAATGTGGTTAGGCTGTACACAGGTTACATGCATTTAATTATCCTGCAGGCTGTATGATTTGGTTGGCTCTTAATTATTAAAGCTCCTGAATTCTTCATGGGGCCCTTCTCCCTGGTTCTTCAATTGTTTTCATACTTGACTTCTCTTGCTGGAGCTAAAAGCAGTAAACAGGTATTATCCCATCTAGCAGATGGTCTGCATTAGAAAGGGTTTCAGCCGGGAAGCTGGATGGTGTTTGAGAGCCCAGGTGAACACTGTGGCAGGCAGGCAGGCACAGGGTGGAGAAGAGGGGCTTTGCATGTGCAGTAAAGAGGGGGTTTGCACGTGCCTAAAGGCCTGGGTTGCTTTAAAAAACTGATTTACAAGGCCAGCTAGGGGAAGGGGACCTGGAGCTACCATGAGGCGGCTTCTCCTCCTCTTCCTATTTTTACCTGCTAAGACCATATGAATTGCTACCTCTTGTTTCATAACAAAGTGGCTGGGGGAGAGGGACCTGGGGAGGGGACATCG